AATGGGTAATTATACTCCTTTTTCTAATGGAGAAACTGGGACTAAAATGTTAAGAATCAAAGTAAAACTGTGCTTCAAGTTGAGTTCCAATTGGCGTCGTCTCTAACATTTCTATTCTACCCCATAACCTTCCTTTTTTATCCTCCATGCTTCTTGAGTCTGGAATCTACTTGATTGTCAGCTTTACAGTACTTTTCTCCATTTTCTACTTTTTAGGACTCTCTAGAACGTTGGACTTGGCGTGATTCTAACAAGCTCTCTCTTCAGGATTCTACATCCTTGACTGGATTTATGAATCAGTGGTGACCTAGCTCATTGCTTGCCCTCCTAGAGAACATCTTTGCCAGGCCCCTTCCTCTTAATCAAACTTCTAGCTATGGCCTCTTCTCTCTCTCTTTGCATCAGGGCTGAGGCTATTAGCTCTCAGTAAGTGGGCCATATCTGCCCTAACATGAGTTTGGTTTATCTAACCCAGTGCCATTGTTCATTGTTTTTTAGCCTTGTGACCACATTTAAAATGGAATGATTTCAGAAGCCAGACACAGAAGATCACATATTGTGTGATTTCATTTATGTGAACTATCCAGAATAGGTAAATCCATAGAAATATAAAGCAGATTGGTGGTTTCCTGTGGCTGGAAGGAGGGAGGAATGGGGAGTAACTGCTCAATGACTTCAGGGTTTTATCATGGAGTGATGGAAATGTTTCAGAATTAGATAGAGTTGGTGGTTGCACAATGCTGTGAATGTACTAAATGCCACTGAATTTTTCACTTTAAAATGGTTAATTTTATGCTATGTGAATTTCACATGAAGGAACGAATGAATGAATTGAGTGATTTCAGATTTTCTACCTTTCTTGGGAAAGTATTCTCTCATTCTCATCATGTAACCATCAGCCAGAGCTAAGTGGCCATTACTCCTTTAGATGAGAAGATGTACTTTAGGGACCACCATCACCAGCACTCTGTATTGTTCACTTGACTCTGAAAGTAAGAGTCAGGGTCAGGCTTCAAAATGCCCGAGCTGTTTATTTAACTGTAGCAGAGAGACTGTTCTCTGCACACTTTGTCAAAATAGGGAAAGAAAGGATTTTCTGAGAGGTCTACACCTTTCAAGAAGAAAAGGGTCAATGGAAAAGTATGGAAACAGATTTTCTTTCTGGAAAAGAAGGATATTCTTTTATGTTTAATACGCAAATGAATTACATCAATGTTGAATCAACAACAAACGGGAACTTCACTTCTTTATCCAGCTCTGTGGGCATTTGGGTGACCCCTAACTCACACTGACATCTTAGTGATTGACACTAACAGCAGTGGATTGGAGGAGGCAGAGCAGGAGAGAAGGGAATCAGGTGAAATAGAGACTTACAGTGACAAACAGCCAAGGCATAAGACAAATAGCATCCCTTTCTCCCCCACTACCTCCTGATACTCTGCATGGTGGCAAGAAGACAATTACTGCTTCCCTCCTCCAAGGAACATCATGAAATAATGTCTGAAATCAATTGAAAATATTCAGTTTGGATGTTTTACTCATCTAATGGTTCTTCACTTTGGAAGCCTGTGTAGTGAGGATTTAACTTACCCAGAAAGAGTTCTGGCCTTTGACCTTGGCTTCTGGGATGTAATCACCAAGTCCTTGGAATGGCAGGCTTGGTAGGAACATCTTTGCTTGCCTTACCTTGGTTCACTAGATATGCTAACAACGTGACATATGGTGGGGGCTGGCTATGCCCAGATAATCTTAGGGTGGGGGCTGACCACAGCAGAAAACCCAGCAATGTTATTTAGGGTCATGCTGTGTCAGACAACCTGGAGTCTCAGATCAATCATGCGGGCAATGAATCTATCAGTCATGCCTCTGTAATGGAGCCTCAATAAGAACTCTGAACACTGAGGCATGGGTGAATTTCCCTGGTTGGCAATTTTCTGTGTGTATTTTCACACATTGATCTGGGAAAGTAATGCATCTTGATTCCAAGGGGAGAGAGTGATGGGAGCTCCACATCTGACACTTCCCTTGACTCTTCCCTATGTGCTTCCTCCCTTAGCTGATTTTCATCCGCAATTCTGTCCCTGTAATAAACCACAACTACGAGTATAACAGCTTTCAGTGAGTTCTGTGAGTCCTTCTAGAGAATTATCAAACCTGAGGCAGGTTTTGGGATCCCTGCAAACTTGCAGTTGGTGTCAGAAGTGAGGGCAGTCTGAATGGATTGTGTGCCCTCTAATTTTGCAGATAGCTAAAATCTTCATAAAGTCCCACTCTTGACTTTTTTTTAATACACACATGTGTGCATGCATGTACACACACATATGTCATATCTTGATCACTTCATGGTAGTAGAATTCATGAGGACAGGGACAAATTTCTCCTCCTACTTTTCTCGCTTCCATACTGTTTTAAATTTTTAAGTATGCATTACTTTTATAATAACAACATTAATAAAACTCAGGAGTCTCATCTCTTCAGCATTACCGCTTTATCAAGCAAGAAATAGCGTGGAGAAGACGGTTTACAAAGATAACAGGAATAGTGAATCTGGAAACCAATCACAGAAATACATCATTAAGGTACAATTATGCACTATACATTATAATTTATTTTAATCCTTGGCAATATTTTAAAGAAGTATGTTGAATTGGGTGTATAATGTGCCTGATTTTGAATAGCAATTAGGTCATTTAAACCGCAATTAGAATTTTAAAAGAAATCACCATAATTTCTCTAAATATGCACACTGAGTCATAATATTGCTTTATGGAAACCACATCAGAGAACTATTTAAATAAAGCTTGGAAAGTTTCATGAGTTTCTGTCTATGCACATATTGGACAAAATAGAGGTCTTCAGTCTGAAAAGAACCAGACTCCTCTAAATGCTAAATTTGGGGCTAAAATAAGTATTTAGAAAGAGTATTGGGAGATAGAAGAGTTTAAGACACACAGAGAATACTAAAATAAAACAAAATAAAACGAGCATCTGCTGATTTCTCCCTCCCCTCTGCCCTCTCCATCCTAGGAGCTGGGGTAAGATGGGGCTCTGCGCTCAGGCCAAAGCTTTAGCTGTCTCATGACGTCAAAGACAAAACTGTGTCAGGGACAAAAGGAGCTGTTTGTTCATAAACTGGGCAAGGGAACCCATCTGCTATCTCTTTTGTTTCAGCAGGAGTTCTGAGGTGGTAGGAAGGAGGATACATTTATAAAGTAAAAACAGGACACACAGACAGTCTCTGACAGGCAAGCATGGTATTAAGGTGGGATTTTGGAAGTGGGGAAACTTTCTATCCAGACTTCAGGTGCATTCAGAATTGCTTGGTTGGCTTCAAGGGGGCAAGTGAACTGTCTGCGGACATGTCAAAAGAGAAAGTGTTTCGTGTTAGGGGTGAGGGCTTCTCTGTAGCTGACCGTTTCCTGGAACAAGCGGGGGTTCATGAGATTCTTTTTTTGAGGTTGAAGTATTGCAACGGTCCTTATGGCAGGTGGGCAGGGGTGGCTACCATGGCAAGAAGTTTCTCATTGAAGACAGGTTTAGACAGCTACCAACTATTACTCCAAGCAGAGTCAGTGGTCTCTTCCTTCCTTTCTACCTTTTCTCTTGCCACGCCCTCCCTCATTCACTCTACATCCATCACTTTGACTTAAATACCCGATACCAGTTCCTGTCCTGGAGCTTCCGGTCTCCCTCTTTCTGCTGCCTGGAATGTTCTCCTCCCAAATCTTCACATGGCTCAATCTCCCTGCTATTCAGGCCTTACCTAACCACCTCATTTAAACCAAGCATTTAAAGGAAGGGAAGAGGAAGAAAGAATCTATATTCACATTTGCTTATATATGCATGGTGACACTCTGGAAGGTACATGAGAATCCAACAACAGTGGTTACTTCTGGGGAGGAGCAGTGAGAACAGTCTGAGAATATGGAGGTGAGCATTGGAGGGGGAGCCTTACCATATATCTTTCTATATATTCTGATTTTTGAACCATGTGAAGGAATTACCTACTCAAAACATTTTTAGAAACTGAAAATGCGTTAACAGAAACTGCAGCCACTTAGCCGGTCACCATCGCAATACTGTGCGCGTGTGTGTGTGTGTGTGTATTTGTCTGAAAATGACTTTATTCCACCTTCACAGTTAGTTAATAATTTGCCTGAGTATAGACGTCTAAGTTGAAAATTGTCTCAGCACAGAATTTTGAATATATTTTTCTTCATTGTTTTCTTGGATCCAATGTTCCTGATGAGAAATTGTTCTTTTTTTTTCCCTTTTTTGTGCATGACTGTCTTTTTTTCTCTCCTCTTTACTGAAGATTTTAGGACCATCTCTTTATCTCTAGTCTTTCTTTTCTTGACTTTTTTTTTTTTATTGTGGTAAAATAGAAATCATATAAAATTTATAACCTTAGCCGTTTTTAAGTGCGCAGTTCGGTGGTGTCCTGTACTTTCACGTTGTTGTCAGACCATCACCACCACGCATCTCCAGACTCGTTTCACCTTGCGAACCGAACCTCTGTGTCCTCTAAACATTAACCCCCCAGCCCCGCTCCCCCCAGTCCTGGCAACCACCATTCTCTTTCTGTCTCTATGAATTTGGCTACTTTTAGTATCTCAGACAAGTGGAATTTCACGGTATTTTTTACCTTGGGTTCTTAGCATTTTTCAGCATTTCCTTATTTATTCATTTGTTTATCACTTGTCACTTCCATCGCATTTTAAGTTCCATGGTGGCAGGGACATTGCTTTCCTGATCGTCCCTGTATCCTCAGCACCGAGGGCAATGCCTGGAAGAGAGTAGGCGGTAAGTTGATGAATGTTAACGGTACCCAGCATGGCAACTCCTCTTGGGGGAGGAATTCTCTATGCCGCTTTCCCAGAAGAGGGCTGAGCTGGCAGACATTTAGCATGTCATCAACTGCCTGGGATATGGGGTGGGTTTGGGGTTTGGTCTCAATTGCCTGAATTTCTGACTTGCTGTCTGTGTAATATTGTAATGGAATAACCAAAATAAGTCCCCACTTAGTATAATGAAGATCAAACTATCATTATAAGACAGTTTGGAAAAATTCTTAGGAAGAAGAATTGTCAAGTAGAGAGTTTTAGTTGGCAAAGAACTGGTCTTCTTTTACTTGTCTCTTGTCTTGTAGCAGAAGATTACTCCACAGTCATCAGATAAATACCAGCTCATCCTCACTTAGGAGAACCTTGGCTAGGATCTTGTTAGAGTGCCAGTCTTGCTTTCTTTCTGGGACAGTTTTAGGCTGGGGGGGTCAGCAACATTGTCTTAAAGGGCTAACACTAGATATTTAGGCTTTGTGGGCCATGTGATTTCTGTCCTAACTACTCAGCTGTGTGTTGTAGCACGAAAACAGCCAAGACATAGACAATATGTAAAAGAATGAGCATGGCTGTGTTCTAGTAACACTTTATCTATGGATATTGAAATTTTAATTCCACATAATTTTCATGTGTCACGAAATATTCTTTTTCTTTGGATTTTTTCCTACCCATTTAATCAAAGCCATTCTTAGGTCACAGGCAGTGAGCTGGCTTCGGCCCATGGCTGGGAGTCTACCCACACCTGGACGAGGCTGTCACCACCTCGAAGGAAGGATTACCTGTAAGATGTAAAACATCATCCCTGGGCAGCACGGGGCACACAGAAGACAGTACATAGATGCTTACTTTTCATCGAGTCTGGATGTTCCTGAAATCAACAGGAGGCAAAGAACTTTAGCTCGCTTGTAGCAATAACCACTGTGCATAGAAACACACAGGTACGTTAAAACATGCTGCCCCAGGGTAATAACTTTAGTTTCACTCCTGAAAGAAATTATTCTAGGACTAAAATTAGAGACTAACTGAAAAGCCTACATTGAGCAAAGTTAAACAGGCTATTGCCTTCTTACTAGAAAGCAAATATGTCATGTCAAATTGATTGTACAAAGAGCTCAAGCTCATATATAAATTCTTCTACTGGGTCTCGTTATTGCTTTTGAAGTTCCTCATCTTTAATCAGTTTAATCTAGCAACATCCCACAAGGGTTTGTGTGCATGTGCAACAAGAGTGTAAAGATAAGAGTGTTGAGACACAGCGTAGTTAGGAAACTTGCCTGAAGTCACACAGCTATGGCACACACAGCCCGATTGAGACCCAAGCAGTAGGACCCTAGAACTCCTTCTTTTCATCACTGTGCTATTTTTAAATCACCACACCTTTTAATTTTCATGCTAATAATATTCTTTCTCTCCCAGGGAAATTGTTCCCTCTATAAAGAGAGAGTGAGAGTTTAAAAATAGTGCACCCACTTCAATAAATAAACTGTGATACGTAAACATTCAAGTCTGAAGTACAGGCTATAATAATCTCATCAGCCTGGCAGAGCGGGTCCCACCCACAACCTACGAAGGGAAATCATCTGGGTTCTACACACGGACCCCAAATAGCCTTTCTGGAAGAAGGCTTAGGAATAATTTTTTTTTTTTTTTGTAAGAATGTAGGATAAAAATTCATTCTTCTATAGAAATGCTCACTTTGCCATATTTCACTATATATGTGAAGCATAATTAAATAAATAAAATTTCAAATTGGTGCTGGTAAAATACCTCTTAGATGAAAATGTTTCCATCCAATATAAAAAGCTAAGCAAAAGTCCATGTTATTTTTAAATACTAATTCTAGAATATACCACAGGCGCCACTGTCTCTCGTGGAGGAAGGATGTTGGTCGAGGGTCTGTTCCAGATGCTAAAGACAGGCGCTGGCAGGTAAGTCCCTTTAGAAATTTAGGTGATTTTCTTTTCATCACACTTAGCTGGGGAACTACATTATAGAAGAAATGAGACCCTGTGAGGGTGATGGTTTCTTCTTTCCCAGTTGTTAATATATTTTTAATCTCATAATTTATCATTGCCATTGATAAGTTAAAAAAAAGTGGTGTAGGTTGACCACAAGTAATACGGATAAAATTAGACAGAAAATGCCATTTTTTGATGGGGTGTTATTGAGTGATCTTTCTTCCCATATTTAAAACTACTTCTTATTTTTTCAATCACCTCTATCCCAAATAAATAAAAATATCTTAAACTTATACTGTATCATATAATTTATGAAGTATTTTTACGTAGACGAACTAAGTTTATCTACACAACACTGACAGGTGTTCTTACTTCTTTTTATGGATGAGGAAGTGGAGAAAGATTAGGTGAGTTTGCTAGGATAATTTTCTTCCTATTCTCTCATTTTTTTGAAATGAATCATTTTACTACTGAAGGTCTCATAAGAAGACGTAGAGAAATGAGACTCTTATGAGTATTCCATAATTCTTGGTAAGTAGATAAAGATATTTAACTCTGACATTTTTCTTAATAATATTAGCCACCATCTATTGAGCTCTTACTTTATGGTAGGCTTTATAAAAATATTTATTCTACATTATCATATTTAATCATCACAATACCCTAAGTGGTGGGTACATAATACAGACATGGAAACTGAGCCTTAGAGATGTTAATTTACCCAAGATCATGCATCTAGTAAACGGTTAAACAGGGTTCCACCCAGGCCACCTGACTCTAAAACCTCAGCTTTTCTATGTTGTCTGCTAATTCTTTAGAATAATAATACCACCTTCTATATTTTCTTTACCTATATCATTTTATAGCCCTTGTAGGGAGCAAAGTTTCCTATATATTATATGAAGACTAAGTAACTTGAAAAGATCTGTGATTGGTTGTAGGCTATGTTTGTTTGTGTTTTTTAAAAATTTTGCTTTTGGTAAGATCATATAGTGTGGAGGTTAGAAAGATGAGGTTATGAAAAGGCAAATATCAGAAACATCTACTTACTGGTGCTCATTTTGGGATGTAGGATACAGAAACTAGCAGAGACACAGGAGAGCTAAGATGAGGCAGCCATAAGAGATAACATTGAAAGAGTGGGTAGGTGGGTGCTCATCAATAAAATCTTAGTGAAACTTTCCTTTTATGAGTCAGGCTTAAGGTAGGGCCAGCCTACCCCCACGGTGTTTTATACACTATGGGCCATGTGCTCTCCTAAGACTGTTGACAATGGCCCCAGACCTTAAGAAGCATGACTACTGAGCCAAAGTTCTAACAAGGACAGATTTGGCCAAACTCACCCACCTGGAATACGACAGAGCTAGGCCTCAAGCCCAAGTCACTTAAACATGTGTTTGGAAGTAGAACATGACTTTAACACAGCCAAGACCAACTCTAGGCAAATCACAGTGGGGGCATTTACAGATTAAGCCCCATTTCTCTGGACCCCAAGCACTCAGCACCTGCAGACTTCCCTCAAGAGTAGGAGGGTTTTACTCTGCCATCCTCCCAGTCCCATCCGTTGGACCATGGCAGTGCTCCCCAAACACACCTCCACCCTCTGTGTACAGGATCCACTGATGACCCATGCACAGTAATGTTTGAAGGACTGACAGCTCTCATCCCCTGCCTATCAGTGTTTTAATGTAAAGGGAGAATCCTGATGCTTTGATTAGCAATCCGTCTCCCTCCAGAAAAGAACTCTGGATGGTGGAACTTCAGCAGTGATACAAAGCTTAGAGTGACAAATGGAGCATAGTGGAGGGAGAAATTATTTTTAGGAGAAAGTTCATCTTTAGTCTGGAATCTGCAGAACTGGATTTGAGTCCTGGCTGTATAATTCCTTGTGCTGTGTGATGATGAACAATTTATTTAACTTCTCTAATTCCTGGCTTCTTTATCTGTAAAGTGGGGCTAATAATAAAATCTCTCTGAGGGTTGTTGTGGAGACTACATGAACTCATGCATACAGCATGGTGTTTGCTATATGAGAATTGCTCTGTAAATATTGACTATTATTTTGGCCTTGGATGGTCAAGAAGTGTTGGCTAAGGACCTAGAATTGGGCCTGGTTCCAATGCATAATCAAACGTAGATGGACGGTATGCATTAGTTAGTTAGCAAATGGTGCCTAACCAAAGATAGGCACACCTGACTTGTCACATCCACCTATACACAGTCTTGCTCATGAGCTTTCTTTGTGTTTTCTTGTGTGGCACACCATTCCTTGAGGGGCACTTGACATGTAATAATGACAAACAAATGTTCAGTATTTTTCTTACATTTGTATTTTATAAATTGACTTTAACATAAAAGTTATCACTAACACTAAATTTTACATCTATCAAAATATGGTTTGAGACAAGCCATTCTAGTCAGTAAACATTCTAAATATTCTCTGTTCCAGAGATTCTGAGAATATAGTGTGCATCAGAGTCACTTAGGAAGTTCTAGTTAAGAATCCAGTTTCATGGGCGCCTCCCCCAGAGATTTGGACGCAGCACCTTGAGGATGGGGCTCAGGCAGGTGTGTTTTTAATAAGCACTCCCAGATGACCTGCTACGAGTGGTTAGAGATGCCCATTTCGAGAAATTCTTTTCTTTTACTTTTTTCTAGTCTAGGGAGAAACAACTGTTTATCTGGCCCACACAAAGTTTCCCGTATTCCCCCAGCCTCATTCTCCCTTCAATAACCTCACTTCCTGAAATTCTGTGGCCGAACATAGATTTGCATGTGAAAGAACGACCTACCTACCAGGCATCTCCAGGGACCCGGGCTCAAACTTGGAATACACAGAAACCTGCCTTTGAATCGGAACTGAGACGCCTTTTCCTCCCTTTCCCAGGTTTAAAGTGTCCCTCTACAAACATGATTCTAAATGTCTCTTTTCTGAGTGAGACATTTTGCAAGGGGTAGTTACAAATTTGATAGGAAAACGTAGATTTCATTTTGCTTTTCTTCTTTATGTTTCCCAGGAAGATCTCAGCAATTCTCGTTTCTAAGATAAAATGACAGATAGATCATGTATGCTACAGGGTGTACTTAGGCGACGCTAATTAAGTCCTTTAAAAGGAATAGATGAAAGCACTTCATGTGCACTTCCATCCCCTAACAACACAGCCACAGCCAAGGGTGCAGCTTGAGGCGGATGTTGGCAGATGACAGGGTGGCCTTCCCTGAGTCAAAGCTTTTTGGTGATGAATCCTCTGGATCTTGTATTTCAGACTTGATTTACTCCCTCAAGCAAGTACAAGAACAAAGCAGCTTCTACCCCTTAATCAGAAGTCTTAAAGTCGTGACTCTTCTCTGGGCCTCCTTAGAGAGTGTGACAAGCACCAGCAGGCCTTGGGTTTAGGGCTACTTTGTGAACTGGACCATGAGTTGAAGGTAGATGAGATGCTTTTAACTCATAGTTCAATTACTGTGTGACTTGGAATAAGTCACTTCACCTTCTCGAGCTTTGATCCCACCTTTATAAAATACAAGTTGTTGGGGCTGGCCCTGCGGCGTAGTGGTTAAGTTCGTGTGCTCTGCTTCAGTGGCCTGGGGTTCCCAGACTGGGATCCCGGGCGTGGACCTAGCACCGTTCATCAAGCCATGCTTTGACAGCATCCCACATAAAATAGAGGAAGATTGGCACAGATTAGCTCACAAGTTGTTGTGAGAATTAATGAAATAATATTTAAAACACATACAAAATGTTTAGCACTCGATAGATGATCAATGAATGCCAGTTATTATCTACCATTGTGTCTGCCGAGCCCAGCTGATAAGCCAGTATAATGTCTACGAGAAAGGATCTGAGCTTCTAAACAGCAAATGAGATCTGAAAATATAATGGGTCCAACATTTGTTCGCATAGGCCTCATATGATTCAATCTTTGAAGTATTTCGTCCTGTGGAAAAAGTAAAAATGGAAGAAGGAGGGTGGTTTGGAAAGCTGGCAGGATGTTGCTCGGCTGGACTAGACTGTTAGCAAAAGCCAACATCAGAGAGAACTCTTGGAGAAGCAGCCTATAATTAGCCATGAGGGCAATGAATCATTTCAAACATTTTCCTATGATAGAGCTCTCATTGTTTCCAGCACTTCCTTGCTATCATTTTCTCTTTCTTGGGTCAGATATACATACATGGAATTACTTTGAAAATTTAGTCAAAGAGCATAAACCCTTCTTCTAATGACAAGTCAGGAGCATTGTTACCCAGAGGAAATGCCAGGTTACCGAATTTATCCAGGTAACTCTTTGGAATCCTTTGTTACTTTGTGTGGATTTGATTTGTATAGATGGCACATCTGGGATAAAGTGACAGCTTTCTAAAGACTCCCTTTCTAATAATGTTCTAGGGCCCGGCAAACTAATTATTTAGCCATCAATCAAATGCGTCTTTCTCACTTGTATACTTTGCAATTCCAAAGGATGGGAGTTGGCAAAATTGTTAGTGCATGTGAGCCTAGCTACGATTAACATTTCTAGAACAAACTCTTGTCTGTGTCTAGTCACGGACGCTGATCTTAAATATTTTTGTACTATTCAAATTTGGAACAGCAGAACAGCTTAATTCACTAAATATTTATTGAAGGCTTACCTAATATAGCACAGAATGTTGAATACAGCTGTTATATTTCAGTGGGAACAGGTGTGCATTTCAGACAACCAACTCAGGTGTACAAGAAGGGAAGTAAATTTTTTTACTAGGGAGAGTTAGCAGATGGATCAAATTTGGGTTTTTGCCCTTCTTTCCCTGAATTTGTTCCCCTGTCATCCAGAAAGGCAGGTAGCTTGTTCTGCTTCGTCCTACTGAGGAGGATTATGACACTTTCCGTAGAAGAAGTCACAGCAAACCTTCCTGACTTTTGCTTCCAAAAGCTTAAACCAAGGTTAACAAATCCTACACTGAGGCAGGTCTGGCAGAGAAAGTGATGGGGAGAGTGAGTTGGATGGGTCTGTGGTGAGCTGGAGGGCATGTGATTTGGGTAAAGGAGGTCGCTGCTGCACTGTTCCAGCTTTTTTTCTGTGGGACGTGAGCCCAGGGAGGACCAAGACTTCCTATTGTTTAAATTTTTTGTGTGTTGAGGAAGATTCCCCCTGAGCTAACATCTGTTGCCAATCCTCCTCTTTTTTCACTTGAGGAAGACTGACCCTGAGCTAACATCCATGCCCATCTTCCTCTATTTTTCGTTTGTGGGACGCCTCCACAGCATGGCTGATGGTCAGAGTAGGATGGCGCAGCACTTTAATCCCTCAGCCGTGGTGCACGCCCCAAGACTTCTCGTTTTTTAAAGAGAAACTGGAAATCCTACTTTTTAATGCAAAGAACTTCTGGCCTCAGGCTACTTAGGAGAAGAGAATTAAACAGAGAGATAAGTTCCCCGAGACCAAAAGTGGGATTTTCCTGGATTCAAAAAGGAAGATAATTTTATGGGATCTGGAGAAGGAGCGATCTTTACCCACAGCCTGGTGGCAGCCCCTCCGTGGGCGGAGAGGAGATGCCTGGCTTCCTGGTGCTCTAGGGAGGGGACCTCGGGCTCTGGGATTTCTGGTGGAGCCTCCCAAAATTTCAATGAGCCAATAAAATGAGCTTTGGTATAGAATCCCATTTTAAGGGAAGAGAGGAAACTATGTTTATTTAAAATACATTTAAAGGTTTAGTGTGCTTGCATGAGATAATGTTTCATTGGGGCACCTTTAGCAGAGGAGTTAAGCATAACTTGGGCTCAAATCCTGAGCTCCAGTCATGAAGCTCAAGTTTATTTGCTGTGTGTCTTTGAGGAAACTTATGTAAACTCTCAAGGCATCAGTATTCTCATCTTTAAAATGGAAATGGCACTTCATAATCCTGGTACCTCACAGTACTATGAGATCAGAGTAAACAATATGTGTATATCTGCTATGTTGAACAAGCAGGACTCAGGAGAAATAATCAGAAATCATCTTTATTTTAATCTCCAACTGTGCTTTTAGAATTTATTCAGCTGGGAAGTCCTTTTTCTGCTGCTAGCTGAAAACACAGGCTGACTGATGAATCTCCTTCTTCATTTGAGATATTCAGAAGTTGTTTCAGGGGGCTGGCCCGGTGGCGTAGTAGATAAGTTTAGTGTGCTCTGTCTTGGGGGCCTGGGTTTGCTGGTTCAGATCCTGGGCATGGACCTACACCACTCATCCAGCCATGCTGTGGCGGTGTCCCACATGCAAAGTAGAGGAAGATGGGCACAGATGTTAGCTCAGGGTCACTCTTCCTCATCCAAAAAAAAAAAAATGTTTTTCCAGATACTCAAGGCTGCAGACCCTACTTCACTTGTGAAAATGGTGTCATCTCATATAACATAGAAACCCCAAATTTGATTTAAAGTTAGATCTTCTCCTCTGGAGGGAAACAAAAGCTCTCACTCCTTTGGTACTGTGGTAAGAGGGCACTGTGCCCGCTCAGCCTGGCAGGAGGTTAACGTTGACTTTTCCTGGGCCATTTTGTGCATCCTTCAGGGCCCCGTGGGAATCTCCTACAGATGTAGGCAGCGTGTTGTCCTCCAGCCAGCAACTCCCGCCCTCGGTTCCTGTTTTCTTCTCCTTTTTCCTTCTGGTGGCCCGCAGTACAGACTCTATCGCATGCTGTCCTATTACTTCCCCAGACTGTCCCCGGGGGTGGGTTTTAAAACAGCTCCGTGCTGCCGCATGGCAAGTGTTAAATAAATGTCATCATTGTTGCTATAGTTGGAAATAACAGGTTTGAGGATTGCACAAAAAGACATGTTTATCTAGTTCCAAATCAGGCACCTTGTACTATAGATAGATTTCAAGTGTTTCTGAAAAATAAATATTTGACAACTTGGCACTTGTCCCATATACCTGTTGTAAGTGCCCTATATGGGTTTACAAAGTGTGTATGGGCCAACACAGGACACGTTAACTAAACATCTGTGGATTTTGTGAAGGGGGCATGGAAGGCTTCCTGGAGGAGGTTGCCTTGAATTAGGCCTTTGAAGACGAGGAGGGTTTTGCCATGATGGGCCCGGGCAGCAGGAAAGGGGGAGGAGTGGAACAGAGGCAAAGGAAACGTGTCTGGCGCTGGCACGCAGGGGTGACGCGTGCTACAGCAGGGTTCAGTTATGGGTGATGGGAGAAGCTGGTGTCAGTGAGGACTCACTGGGCGCTCCATTCCACCACCTGGTTATCCTTCTCAACCCCGTGAGGCGGGTGCTGTCGCCACCCCCCCGTGTGTGCGTGAGGAGCTTGAGCTTCAGAGAGGGGAAGGCAGCTGCCTGAGAGCTCCCAGCAGCCGAGCAGGAGCCGGGCCTGGGCCTCCGGCTGTCTCACCTGAGCAGCACTGCCCGACTCAATGTTGCATTGGGCCCTCAGCATTCAGGGATGACAGGAGGGCGTTCGCAAGATCCACTGGATCAGAAAGAAGGCTCAGGATGGTCTGCTTAAGAAAAATATGAATTGTATATTGAAATCCTAGAAAAACTTCTAGTTTTTACCATAGTAATCATTTTGATAACTTCCTACCATTTCCTTCATTCCTTGCTTCCTCCCTCTTTTCTTTCTTCCTTTGTCAAATATCTCTTAGTCCAGGGACTGTGATAGTCCCAGGATATACAATGGTGAACCAAAGTACATGCAGTCTCTGCCCTCATGGGAATTATATTCTAGTGGAGGAGAAGGATAGTCACGTAATTTCTAAGAGTGAAATTGCGAGTGTGACTTTTGCCCAAATGGGAGGAATTTGGAACTATTAGAACTTGAGATGAGGGGCTATGATTTAAAAAGGCCAGTGGCAAATCAGTGACCTAGAACTAAGTTCTGAGAGATGAATAAGAGTTAACTAGATGAAGGGGGAAGAGAGGAGTGCCAGACAGCAGGAGCCACATATGCAAAGGTCCTGTGGTAGGAAGAAGAATGGGCTGTAAAGGAAGCCTGAACAGTTAGAGCTGAGCACACCAGAGAAGGCAGGGTCCAGACTAACAGTGAAAAGGTAGGGGCCTGGTCACTCAGAGTCTTGCAGAGTATGTTAGAACCTGATCTTTATCTTAAAGGCAAGGGGTTCTGACAGGAGCAACTTAAGCAGGGGTGGTAGCACTTGATCAGATATATTTTAAAATATTGAAAATACAGCCGTGGCTGCACTATGGAGAGCAGATTAGAAATGAGCGAAGCAGAAGGAGGTGGAGGAGATGGGAGGTTATTCAGTCAACCAGGGGAAAGAGTAGCTGCTTGAACCAGGCGTGGCAGCGATGAAGAGCCGGGCAGATTCACCCGCTATGTAGGGGGTGAAATCAGCAGGACTTTGGGATTGCCTGGATATGAGAGATGAGAAATGGGGGTGGCATCAAGCAGACTCTGTGTTTCTGACTTGGAAACTGAATGGTTTGCATCATTGACAAAGGAAAACTAGGAATAGTTGGGTTTTTAAGGACTGGGTTGATGATGGTAGAGAAAATTGTGTATTTTGAGTTGTCACCTTTCAGACTGCGAAGACTTTTGGTAATGGAGTTTTAGCTTTGACTTTTCAACTGAGCTCCTGCCAACTCCCTACCTCTGATTTCCCCACTCACAGCTCCCTCTTTTCCTGGGGGAAACGTGGTCTTCACAGACTGACAGTCAATGGCGGCTGCCCAGCGCCATCCCGGGATGTGCCCTTGGCCCCTCAGATTGGACCTCTGCCTCCTGCAGAGCCCAGCACCAGCCCAGAGTCGCCATCAGTTGGCTCAGGTGCGTTAGGCTTGTGACCTTGACTCAGACCACAGTGTGTGACCCCTCCTGCCACTGATGAGGGCTGTCCGGCTGCTCGGGCCCTGCTTCAGCTCTCGCTAGTCTGGCTGCATCACTGCCCCCGCCCCCCGCCCCCGTCACCCGCCCCCCCAGCACCCCGCCCCCATCGACTGTCGCCTCTCCGCCACCTCCTCACCAGTAAGTCCCAGCCTGTCTCATGACGGGTCCACATTCTTTATGACTTGCAAAGATTAATAATTTCTTCCTTCCTCTGGCCCTGCCTTCTGTCCTTCCTCAGAAACATTTCCTTAGATCCTTAAGTGAAGCTGCTAGCCTGCGAAGTTTCCACCAGATGGCACCAAAACACTATATTCCAAGCACTAAGCCGTCACCGCGCCTTCAGGAGAAAGAGCCGGAACCTTCCGCTCCTCTGAGATGATCAAGCACAGGCCCAGGGGCAAGTACAACAGAAATTAAAACTCCCGCTCCCACCTCCCAGAATGTGTGGTGTTGGATTTTTATCGGGAGAGAGAGAAAGGGAGGGAGAGAGATAGAGAGAAAGAAACAAACTTTCTCAGGAAAAGGTCTTTATTTTTTTATATTTTTCCTTCTTTAGAATCTGGCCTAAATGCTATGATGGGGGCCACCGCGTGGCATAGTGGTTAAGTTTGGGCGCTCTTCTTCAGGGGCCTGGGGTTGGCCCGTTCAGATCCTGGGCAGGGACCTAGCACTGCTCATCAAGCCACGCTGTGGCAGAGTCCCAAATATAAAATAGAAGATGGGCACAGATGTTAGCTCAGGGCCAATCCTCCTCAGCAAAAAGAGGAAGATTGGCAGCGGATGTTAGCGGAGGGCCAATGTCCCTCAAAAAAAAAAAAAAAAAAAAAAAGGCTATGATGGACTTTACGAAATGAGGGACATGAATATTCCTGGGGATCCTGTCATTTTCAGCAGGGTTTGCCTCCCTGTCCCTTTCGCTGTTTGCTACAGAACTGCGTGTTGACGAGAATAGAAATACAGTAGCTCCCTCTTAAGACAAGTGAAAACAAATCTATACATTCAACATTCTAACTAAACAAAAGAGTAAAATTAACTATTTTCTCCAATTTTAAAATGTAATTATCGTTTTTCTTCAATTTTAAAATTTAATTATCATCAATACAGCAAAAATAGTATGGATGATCATTTAAATTACTAAAACAGTTAATAAAATTAACTAAAATATATCTTCTTGGTATTACGTTCTAACTGCAGAATAGATATTTTTCTTAAATCAACATATTAACAATTGTGTGGAGGATGATATAGGTTGAAAAATTTTGAAGTTTTATTTTTTTTAGTAATATTTCAATAGCTTAAAAAATACCACACACTTTATAAGTTCACACTTTCTACTGGGTGATCAAGTGTCCATTTGGCAAAATTTAGTCAAAATTTTATGTGAGGAAAATCTTTTCTTTTATGATTTATATTTTTTATTGAGACAACATTGGTTTATAACATTATATAAATTTCAGGTGTCCATCGTTATATTTTGATTTCTGTGTAGATTACATCATGTTCTCCACCCAAAGACTAATTACCATCCATTACCATTAACATGGAAAAATCTTTAAAGAGTTGTTCTTTCATATTTGGAGATCTGGGTATTAAGTGCTTAATGACTTGGCCAAGGTGACAGTAAAGGGATAAATGGACAGTAGATATTAATTTTTATTATTTTTATTCTTCTTTGGAGGGGGAAGAAATGATCTATGAGTAAATGCACAGCGTGAAGTGAATTTGAAAAGTGAAGTCATGTTAGGAAATAATTTGATGCTACTAGTTTTGCAAATACACTTTTTTTAAGGAAGACTGGCCCTGAGCTAACGTCTGTGTCCATCTTCCTCTGCTTTATATGTAGGACACCTGCCACAGCATATGGCTTGACAAGCGGTGCATAGGTCCACACCTGGGATCCGAACTGGTGAACCCTGGGCTGCGGAACTGGAACATGTGAACTTAACTGCTGCGCCACCAGGCTGGCCCCCGTATACACTTTTATGATATTTTGTAGGTATACTCTTTTGTAAAATTTTGCCAACAACTGTAACATGCATGTACATATACAGAAAGTACATAAATATTTCTTGTTTTGCAAAGATGTGTGTGCATGGGGGGTGGGTGCTGTGTCTTCCCACTGCACAGAGTCGCTGTGTCTTGCTCTAGACATTGGAAGCATTTCTGGCTGCTTCCTTACCCTGGGGAGTCATCTGAACGTCCAGAGTTCCCAAAGTGCTTTGGGATGGCTTAGGCTAAAAGATGCTATTTGTTGTGAAGCTAGCTTGTTTTATTCCCAAGGGAATTTCATCATTTTTGTATTTGTGAAAACTGTCATATTTGGAGATCTGGGTCTTTCTCAAAATGCAATTATCTGAAAGAAGCAAACCAACACAGAGTAGACCCCTTGTCTTCAAAGTCATTTTATTAAGAGTAAATTAGACTGGAAAAATGATAGTCTAAAATGCATTTTCAATAGATTGCTGTCTAAAATGCATTTTCAATAGATGGCTGTCAGGCCTGCTACCTGTCAAACAGAGAGGCCTGCAGTCTCATAGTGACATATGGATTAGCCCAGGCTTCCCCGCAGCGTGAAAACAAAAGACAATTGGTGATGCATGGGGCAAACTCATCTTAAAACAGAGATATCAACAAAGGAATATGACAGAATGAAAAGACTGAGTGCAGGCTGCTGTCCACATTTGCAAAGAGATTCTGTCTGAATCCATAACTTCAATACAATATGAGACAGAAAAAGAGCAAATACACATTAAGTGTAATTGTTTGTCGGGTACTGTATTTTAGCAAGTGCTGAATTTCGTTCTCTAAAGTGAGGAACAAGTGGGAACAAAGGATGAAATAGCTGCAGTTATAAAAAGTCATTAAGAAGAACCATGTGGAATTAGACTTATTTGATTTTTAAGCATCATGCATCACAGAGACTTTAAATGAATGTTCAGACGTTTCATCCACTAAGTCAGTTGAAAAAATAAAGGCTGGAGTCACAAAAGAATCTCAAGGGCAAAAACCCTTTTCCCAGTTGGAGCTTTAAACTAGGCTGGCGAGGTCAGCTTGTTTGGAAAAGAAGTGCATATCAAAGTTGAAGAAAATCATACAGTTCTGCTTAGGTTGGGGAAAATATAGTATGGATTTTTTTTTTTTAACATCCCATGTGAACAATTACATAGGACACTTGTCTGACCAATAATTTTCAATTAAATAGAAATGAAATTTCCTTTAATAGCCATTTAAATCCATATATCCTAAGGGACTCAACAAACAAGTGTAATAACACGATGCAAAAGTTAGTGAAGGAAAATGATGCACTGAATAAAAGAAACCACTGGGTTTCAAAGCTTGGGACCAGATGCTAAAAAGCCAAAGGAAGATAATTTTAGAGTTCTGCAGTGCCCACCAGAGAACCATGCAGAGATTAGTAGGAAAAGTTCAGGAAAGGTCACCTTTGGGGTATCCTGAAGGAGGCTGTCCATGGGCCAGGGGTCAGAGATGACTGCCATTTTGTCAAACCATCGCCTATGTGATGGCTTCCTCCCATGGGGACAGGACTTGCTCCACAAACACAAATAGGCAGCTCCCTACAAAGGGTCATTTCAGGGGAGCTGGAAGGCTCATCGGGGTGCCGTGGTGCCTGAAACTCCCATGATTAGTTGTGTCTTAAAGCCTACTAGAAACTTGTGTTAAGTGTTCATGGATATTTTATGTAAGTGGGGGGGTCGCATATTTTCTAATTAACATATTAGGGTACTTGAGCACATCCATGTCCTTCTAGCAAAATGCAGTGTCCTGAAGGGCAAAGACTTTTGGGTCTTGTCTTTCACTGAGCCACAGGACACACATATAAGGCAACACATCAGAAGTCATGAGATTTTAGAGGGAGCTGAGAACATTAGAAATCAGTAGCAGAGTAGCAAAAAATTAGAGGCACCAGTGAAAGCACTTCCAAAATTCATAATTTTGTCTTTAAGTAGAGTTCTACCCAGAGAATTTAGGTTATTGATATTTTCTAGTACTATATAGGGTTAAACAGACATAGAAAAAATACATGAGTAAAATAAACATGTTTATTGTACATTTTACATCATTTTTCTCACTTGTGTTTTCACTTAGTGTCTCATTGTTTTCTTTATTGATTATACCTCTTGTCAATAAATGTCTCATTTTTCCACAAACCCATAGGAATCAGCTTTGAGTTCTTATTTTTGGAGTATAAACTCACACCCCTGAAACCACAGTGTGTGTTCTTCTGATACAATTGCCCTTGATTTTGTTACTATCAGATTTGTTCTTGTTGTACTAATGTGTTTACACTATTATCTCAGTATTAACGCACTGTGTCAGGTAAGATTGTTTTCAGTGCATAAAACAGATCGTAGTCAATATCCAAACAAGAGTTTATTTTTTTCTCGTAGAAAATAGACCAGAGATCAGCCATCCAGGACTGTTAGGTGGCTCTTGGTAACATCAGAGTCTGGATGCTCTCTCTCTTTCTGCTCACTCATTTTTGGAGTATGTCTTCTATCCACATGGTCACCTCATGGATCCCAGATGAGTGATCTCTACCCTTCCCTGAGAATTACAAGTGGAGGAAGAAGAAAGACACAGGGAGAAAGGGTGGTGTCCTCATCAGGAAAGTGAACTGTCCCAGATATCCCCAGTCACCCTGTGCTTACATTTCATTAGCCATCACTGTGCCTGATGACCACCCCTACCTTAAGAATGCTTGGAAATATAACTTACAGCTGGGCGCAAAGCTGGCATTCTGTTTGTATGGAGGAAGGAGAGACTAGATATTGGTAGGTAACTAGCAGACTCAGTCTTACACCAGCATCTCACAGAGTCTCTGTAACATGGAATAGGAAAATGTGCTTTAAAAAAGATCCAATATTTAATTGCTTAGGATATAACAAAAATATATTGGAAGGAAATGTAGGCCAATGGAAAGATGGTTGGGGATGGGAAGAGGTTGGTGTTTGGCCCAAGTGCACAAAGAAAGCTACTTTTTCTTTTCAAAGGATTTGAGGTTGACTTGTGTGGAATGAAGGAAGGGGAGCAGGAAAGAATACTAAAGTGAAGAACAGAAAAAGATAACCATGACTTGTTCCTTCAGAATGTTTGAAAACCAAAGATGGGCAGGCGACTTTTACCTGTCTGCGCTGAACATGGGGCTGTAAGAGCAGAGGTAGGCACAACTGGCCAGTTCTGGCTTCTTGACTCTTTGTTACTTTGGTGGCTCAGCCAAGTTATTTAGCCTCTATCCCCTGGCCTATGAAATCGAGACCGTAACTATTCCTACCTCATTGATTTGAAGATTATATGCTATCATACTCAACACTTAACACACATCAAAATATGTTAAATATAATCATCAGTAGCAGCATCAATATAATCATCAGTCTTATAACTACAGGACTAGAAACTGTTTCATGGATTCCACCCCAATCTTCATACCTATTCTGTGGAATCTGGGACAAGAATTTAACCCTGGACCCAGATTTTTCCTTCGGTAAAATAAATGTAGTAACACCAACCTCATGGGCTGGTTGTAACAAACAAATAACAGAATTATGTAA